GTGTGCCACACGTTGCACACGAGTGGCGAGCGGGACGCACACCCAACGCGTTGCACACGGGTGTCACACGTGTGACGGACGAGTTGCACATGGGTTGCTTAACGCGTTGCCCATGCGTTCAAGGGGAATGAACTTCTAGGCAGTAGTGTACATACATACATGCGAAGAAGTTAATAGTCCAATATTCGATCACCAATAAACATGAGCCGCGACTTTCAAAACATGAGAAAAAAGCAACTATCCAGTCAATATCGGGTGTGTCCTCCCCAAGCTTTGATGCAGGTTCTGACACAGCGCCGACCAGAAAAAGTCTGTCGTCTAATGGCGTGCTCAGGGATCAGACTTGATTCTGCCTGCAATGCCTGTGCTGACGCCTCTCTCGTCTTTTGACGTCGCTGACGTTGCCTAATCTGTCGTCCCAGGTGGTCCCATAGATGCTCTGGTAATGCGGGCTGTATTAGGCGTGGCGTTATCTTGCTGGAATAACGTTTGCGGTTGACGTTAAAGAAATAGCAGTACAACTGGCGTTAACACTTAATTAATGTAGAGTGCAGCGGTGAGATTGCCATCAATAACAACCAGATCCGCCTTCATGTCTCCACAAATCGTACCAAAGACCATTGTACTGCCACAACCGTCCGTTCCCCTGGCCGCCGGGAAATACGCACCCTGACATCTGCTTTGAAGAGTTGGAACCTGCCCTCATCGCTGAACAGTACTCTGCGCAATATTCTCTGCTGCCATTGCTCGACATTCCTCCCCCAAATCATTATTTGACGTTGATCTTCACGTGTTAACGTCATACTATTGAACGGGCGGAAGGCTCTCAGAACATGGAAAGGATATCGTCTGGACAAAGTCTGTCAGCTGATGGGATGACCAAGTGTATATAGTGATGACGTCGCAGTGAGGTATCTGTTCCTTAGGTGAAGCAGCCGTAAATTGCGGTCTTCTTGAGTGATGGAAACTCTGTGTGTACTGCTCGTGTCTGCTGTTCAACCTGTCTGCCAAAACTGGCTGATTAACGTCAGTATTGTCCTTCTCGAACAGCCTATTACCCCAGAAACATGGGCCTGAGTTGCCTCCATATCCAATATTCCCCATCCTCTTTCTCTATGTTCCAATGTTAATCGAGGCATGACCATTTTTGACAACTGAATGTGCCAATGCCAAAGAACATTTTTGAACCCGTTTTATGCCAGATTTACATACATTTCTGTATGATTTTTCACGTTCACATTGGCTTGACGTTCATTTCAACAGGACTTCTATCAAAGAAATGCACAATTAATTGGGACTCATCTGAAAACAAAACTCGTGACCAGCGACTGTTACCCTACTTTCGACGTTGTGTACACCATTGACGACTGTTGAGGGGCGGCACAACAATTTGATTCACGGTTTGAGCTCAATTATGGTTATGGACAAATCGATCCCTTACTCTTGTTGTTCACCTTGGACGATCTGAACAGGGTCAATTAACATATTGGGTTAGTTGGTACCTGTTCCATAGTCTGCTAATCACAGACTGTGGAACATGGAACCTACTAGCCACTGCACGCGGACGTTTCCTGTTTCCAACATGTTAGTAGCTCGTAGACGTTCCGCGCATTGGAGACGCCGCATCGCCAATTCATACACAACACATGAATCAAAATCAGTATCAATAAGAAATAATGGTCCACAATGATTAATCTTTTTGCTCGTTGTTGTTTAACGCCGCACTCAGCAATTTTCCAGCTGTATGGCGCCGGTCTGTAAATAATCGAGTCTTGACCAGACAATTCAGTGGTTGACATCATGAGCATCGATCCAAGGAATTTGGATACGATGACATGCATCATCCAAGTGAGCGAGCCTGACTACCCGATCCTGTTAGTCTCCTATTGCGACAAGCATAGTCGCTTTTTACGGCGAGCATGGGTTGTTGAAAACTTATTCTGCCCCGGGTCTTCACGGAGTCCAGAGATTAAGCGCCCTTTCTTTGAAAGTGACAAAATCAGGAATGAACCTCGCAAATGTGTCTTCAAAGTATAAGATGTGTTTTGGTGTTTTACTGACATAAACGTTCTTGCCTTTGATGTTTGTCCTAAACACTTATCTTTGTGCTAATACTTGATACTAACATTTATATTTCATTACTTCCAACTTTTTCTAAAGAGCATATGCATAAGGGATAGGGCAACGTCTATAAACGTCCTCTGGGGTTGGGACTTGCGCTGCTGGTGCATCTGCCATTGGCTCGGAGACTGTTAACTGTTCCATTTGTCCATTGATAATCACCTATCAGAGCCAATTAACTGTTGGCTTCCCTTGTGAAGTTTCCACCTTTGTCATGTTATTACTTTATTGTTCTTACGGGCAAATGTATATGTTCTCTGCTTCATAGCATTAATTCACCTGATGAAAAAGTAAATTTATGCTCTTAAGAGTTGTGTTCCTCATTATAAAGAAGTTGACCATATTTCCTTATATAATTATGTGTTTTGAGATTGAGTCCTAAGTATCTGCTTGTCTATTTTGAGGGCAAGCAGTTAGACGTATCGGCTCATTGTGAAATATCAAATGGTTTGGTAGATGATGCTAATTATTCATTACAGTTCTTTTTCCCAAAATTGAAAAATGAAAATAGAGCAAAATTCACCATATTCTGGCTTATTTTTACTAATAACTCAATTTGTGAGAGGCTTTAATTACAAAAATAAGAATAATTCAAGTCTGCTATGTGTAAACTATCACATAAATGATGAAAATAAGGATTCAATGCATACACTACCATGAAAAGCTTTTTGGGGGGACTATATTTAATTTTCTCTATTTTTACAACTGAAAAGTGTATTTGGACCCCTAAACAGTATCTGCCACCAACACATTTGACCACAACCACCATGTTCTAGTCTGTTTGATACAAACAAATAAGAAAAACCGATGTTTGCTTTGTTCCACTATGGGGAGGGGTATGTCGTCAGTTTGAGGGTCTGGCCACTGCTCTATATATCAACACAAAAGGGTTCATCATATCAACACCACATGCACAAATATATGCTCTCTGCATCCTATCATTCATTCACATGATCAATGAGTAAGCAAATACTCCGAAACGTTGAGAACCTCATATTAAAGAAGTTGACATTCATAAATTCTCTCTGAACACATCAGAGGATACATAAAGAGCGAATGAAGCTTCCGGCAATCCAAGCAACTCGGGAAAGACCTATTTTACCATATATGTAAATCAATTATGAACTTTCCAAAAGCATTTTGATGGGGTTACTTAGTGCCCTGTCAATACAAAGTGTTCTCCTCAATGGCTGTAGGAATGCTTTTTTTATTCACGAATAAATCACAATATCACAATGGCCACAGAAACACACTAAGACAGCCCTTATTATAAATTTGTTATATTTCACCACTTTCTACAAGGCACTGTGTTTTCGTAGCTTTCGGCAAGGGGAGCAATGTCAAATCTACATTTGTCTGAGAGTTACACAAAGTATGTCATCTAGACTACAAGTTATCGGACTTCTATTTCGTGTGGAAGCCTCGGTTGTTGAGTTGGTTAGATTGCTGATTTTATGTGCTGGCGATTAGGTGCCTCACTCTGAGTGTGTGGGTTCCAATCCCGAATGAGACTCAAAACAAAACGTACTGTCATTTGTTACTTTACTAAGAAAGGGCAACCCTCAAAATCATTTGTTATAGAATCAAATAGAATTGAGAAAGCAGGGTCACATATGTCCTCACACTTCAGCAGTTCGATTTGAAATGAGAATGTACCAAAAAGAGGCACTAGATAAGTTTTCATTTTTTTCTCTAGCTTGATTCCATAAACTTATCTTCAGCTCATCTCTTGGTCATAGACACAAAAAGCGAGCATGCTGAAGATGCAAAGTCAGGTTACCAATGTCAGGTTGCATGAGCTGCAGACGTTTTGGAAGAACACAAAGTACAACATGTTTTCACAAAGTACACACAAGCAACCATGACAGCCACAAGCAAATATTAAATGTATGGTATCATGGAAAGGAATGAAAGGAAGAACAAAGTAAACAAAATATCAGAGAAGTACACATCTACAAACCTGTCCACACAGCCTTAAATCCCTTCCTGACAGACAAATTCAAATCACTTGTTGTAAACACAACCCGGTAGTAGACAGCTGACTGGACAGTGTAGCCCCGTCTGTCTCCACTTAGAAGGGCAAGGAGGTTGTTGGAGGCGTCATAAACCTGCAGTTTACAAAAGGAGGATTGAGTCCCATTTTGACTACATTCCAATTTGCTTGAAAACTAGCTGTAGGCAAATTCGGATTGAAAAACACTCCTACAGATTCTTACATGTGTAGATAGTATAACGATCAAAATAAAAATATAATACATGAATAAAATATTACCATATTATGATTTTCGCAATACATACTAAAACCGAAATTATTGGGAACATGTCAATTACTCTTGTTTTCAGTAACAGTTATTGTTTAATGTAACCAAACATTAACACACTCATAATAATTACAGGACAAATACATAGTTTACCAATCCACAAAGTTCCAAGAAACACATCTTGAAATATGTTTACACAAGAAATTTATGTTCCCTTCACTAAACCCGCAAGAGCGTTGACCCAGTCCGTCCAACCTTAAACTGACAGCACATATTGCGTGTAGCATACTTGTAAGCAATATGTTTTTCTGTAACACTTATAGATGGCTACCTAGTGCAGCCTTCACCTTTATAGGTAACGTCCATTTCGCTGGTGTATGGGCAGTATATCTTTTCGCCCCTAAACAAGGCTTATCAATTGTCATGTCCTGTAATATGTTCTGTGCTCCAGTGATACATCAATAATAACCTGGTTTGCTTACATAGAACAGTAAACCATGTTAATGTAAAATGTGACCGGTTTGATCAGTTGATCGTTCATTCTAAATCGTTTTGTCCCTAAATTTCACGCTTTTAAACATGATACATAGTTTAGTATGTGTCCATGGGTACGTCGTATTATCGCTGATAAGGATACATGCATGCATTCAGTGCAGTGGTTACAGGCGGTGGTACGCAAATTTTGAAGCTCTTACATGTATGCTGCATGTCAAGTCGGTCAGATAATTGTGAATTGTGACAGCAAAACAAGTATTTAGTAGGGATATAACTGAAGAATTTAGAATATTATGTTCAGGAAATAGTGAAGTAACAGGCACTAACAAAGTATATCATAAAGAAATATCCGAAAAAACAGATGGAAATCACTGAGATCATGATTGTATTTGTAATATACATGGTTGGAGACTGTCCGGATGATCGGTGTCTGTTTGTTGCCATTATGCTTTTTCTAATGTGTACTCATAAGCCCTTGAAATTTCTTCCTATTTTCTGTCTGTAAAAGTATTTTCTGAAAGAATCATTGATCTGATATTTTAATTGCACGCTTTGTTCCATATTGGTTCTTATTGCTTTTCAAATAACATACATGTTTACAAACCTTGACAACATCATACACTTCATCCGTAATGAAATCTTCAAACACGAGGGTGACCAGTGTCTCTCCTGCATCAATGATGTAGGTACAGTGCAGATAGTTGCCGTAATTGCCAGGGTAGTTAGGTGAGGTGAAAGAACCAGAGGAGCCTGTGTAGCGCTCACCGCATCCTGAAGTAGACACAATAAGGCTTGTGTGTATATGGTTGTTCATTATGTTTCTTCTTATCAAGAAATTCGAAAAATCAAAGAAATCCAAAACTGTTGAATAGGTAAAAGGTGAAAACGGTCGCGCAAAACGTAACAAAATCTCTTTAGATGTAGACGATTATATTTTTCTCTGCCAATTGTAGCATAATTAAGAATAAGTTATTCAAAGTGTAGAGGCAGTAAATTTAGAGTTTAGGCTAAATGTTGATGTTGAAAGATATAAAACATATCCCCATGCAGAAAGGTACTGTCATTATCTCACCAAAGAAAATAACTAACATGTCCTACTTATGTGTGACAGATGAACTGCTTTCAGAAATTCCGACTTCCACGCATATCTTACAGCAAATCTGTGAGATGCTTTAATTGTACTATCACCTGTGAAAACACTGATATATTACAATAAACTTTTAAACGTTTGTCTGTCTATACATCTGTACATCTGTGACCACAAACCTATGCTGATGTGGCACCGGCGCGGTTGAAGTATTAGAGGACTATGGCTTTTTATAACTGTAAATGATAACACTTGCCCAAATCAACAACTCTGAACTTTAGGCTACATGCACGTAGCAGTGACCAGGAATAACTTTCTGTAACTATTACCCTGTTACCCTGTTGGCAAAAGGTTACGAAGGGGGCAGAGGCTGAGCGTGATACCTCTAGTCGTTGTGCAGAGTTGCGTCTCTCAGTTGTGCAAGGATCTACTGATCATGTATTTGAATCAAATATTTGAACTCAACATACCCTTCAGGTGATCAGCACCAGTTTGAAAAAGGTAGTACGACGTCTATGACCTGTTTCACTTTCGACACGTCCTGGTGTAACTAAATACTGCTCTAACCAGCGTAAGTACCAACTGACACACTCACCATGTTAATATAAAGGTGCAAAATTTAACGAATCAGACGACTTTTCGTCGTTCTCAATTGTTTCACAATTACACAAATTGACATCTAGATATAACCTGATAATTAGATATTAGCAAGACCGTAAAGTTTCATAAATACTTCCTGAACTTATAACGAATCAGACGACTTTTCGTCGTTCTCAATTGTTTCACAATTACACAAATTGACATCTGGATATAACCTGATAATTAGATATTAGTAAGACCGTAAAGTTTCATAAATACTTCCTGAACTTATATGAAACCAAGTCACATGACACAAACAAGGAAGAATACTTTGTGAGGGTGGATTATATTTACTTTCTTGTTTCTATATATAATTCAGGCTTCTTTGAGAATTAAATAGCCATCATAATAAACAGATAGGATAAAAATAAGTCAAATTGCTAAATAATAAACAGCAGTCCACAAAATGAGGTAAAGGTCGCCACATTATGTTGGACTCTCAAAAGAAACCTTTCAAAAAAATTCAATAAAATCCATACAGTGCAGTGCTTCTGTTTCTTTTGCGACATATCGGACCTAGATATTAAAAGATCAAATGTTATGAATACTTTCCATAACAGCCTACAAACACTCATCAACCCACTGCTTTGCTGGTTATGCTATACCAAATGAGGTTTAGGTAGTCCAACAGCATTAACGAAATTAATAGATGAATTGTTATGAATACAGATTTCGAGCAGTAGCCAAGCCACTATTTTGCTATATCAATAAAATTGACTCCCTGTTGGGCCATCCAATTGGTGCGGCTACCCAGACAGCAGCCAAGCCAACCAATACAAGTTAGAAACAATGTGTCCAATTTGTGTGTTATTCTTTTTTATTGTTCTTTATATATCCAAAGAAGATGAGAGGTAATAAGTATAATGCCCAGTTATGGGTTTAACGCCATTAGATAACCTAACCATTTCAAGTAAGATTTGCCTTTAATTAACCAATTAGTCTCGCACCAGTCTTTCAGAAAAATATAAAACTGAGCACTTTTAGAAGTATAGCGTCAGGATCGGCCAGCAGTGTGAACAATACAGAAGTCTTTTCCTATATCTTTACAATGAAATAGGTTTTTCGAAAAAAAAGATACATGTTACCAATGGAAAGATTACTTGGCGCAAAGTACTCTGAAGTCTATACATTTTGTGAGACGTGATTTCCAAAAACGTGTTCACATTGTAGGCATGTGTTTTGCCTCAAAATATATAATTAAATAAACCCACTCGAAAATCGGATCAGATAGGTTTGGATGACATTCGACAGGTTCTGGTTTATCATCGAACAACTAGACCGATCCTTCGAAAATATTTTGGACATTTTGATAATTTATCAGCAAACTGCTGATGGTCGGTGACAATCTGAATCTGAATGTTCATGATTTCATCCCCCTTTGATGGGGCATTTTTAAACATCACTAACAAATTTTAATATTCTAAAGGCCGTTTTGGAAGGCAACCAGTCAGTGTTCTACAAAATGAACTGAACTGGGGACCTATCTTGTGATGTCCTGTGGCACGATATTTCAAACGAAGTCAATGCCAATGTTCTGGAAATATCTGGCAGACATCAGACAAGGGCATGATACACTGTACGTATGTTCGGAACCGAACCCTGAACTTCGGCGTGATCGGCGAACGCAATAACCATTAGGCTAGCCCACCATTACACTTCCATTTTGACGTTCTTGAGAATGTCTGCTCAAAAACAACAAATTGGTCAATTGCTTCCAACTTCCCTGTAAATCATGTCAAGGTCAAAATCATCAATGTTGATCAAGACACTTTGCCATCAAGTGTGAAACAAATCAATTCCAATGTTCTGTAGGGGTCGACCCCATTGCTCAAATCCAAGTAGTCCACATCTCGGACTAATTGTTAATGTTAAATGGATTTAAGGAGAAATCAACTAGTCCCTGAAGATTTTCAACAGCCTCGGACTGACGATGTACTGGCCATGTCTGTGCCTGGAATCTGGATATATCCTATTGACAAATAGCAAATTGGACAAAATGAATGCATTCCATACACTTCAATCAAGATCATCATTATCAAAGGGGTCTGCAAGACACCTTGGCACCAACTCGGGAAACTTCAAACTTGCCTTCCAACCTTCCCACCTAATATAGATGTGATCTCTAAGCGCACGTTTTGAAATATTTCACTCAGAAAAAAGGTCGCCTCTTTCATTCAATGTCTGTGGACTTCCAAAATAACCTTTCAACACACCCAAATATAACTCACAATAACTGTTTCCTAATTGTTTGAATTACGTATGATTCGCATAAATGTTCAGCTTTCAGGAGTTTTTGTACCTCAAAAAGGAAATCCCACAAATTAAAAAAGCGTCAGCCAAATATTTTAGCACCCGTAACGGCCACCCGTTGAGCATATAGTCCAATATTTCTTTTTTATGTTATCATGTTTATTTTACATTTAATCAAACAGTTTGTTTTGTTGATGACAATATTATGAGAACACTCAAGTTCCTCAATTTCCGTAGGCCCGTGAAGATCCGGGGTAGAATGGGTCTTCAGCTACCCATGCTTGCCGTAAAAGGCGATTATGCTTGTCGTAAGAGGCGACTAACGAGATCGGGTAATCAGGCTCGCTGACTTGGTTGATGCATGTCATCGATCCAAATTGCGTGGATCGATGCTCATGATATTAATCACTGGATTGTCTGGTCCAGACTCTATTATTTACAGACCGCCATCATATAGCTGTAATATTGCTAAGTGCGGCGTTTAAACAATTCAAACCAAACCAATTTATGTAAATTAGCAACTTTCGGTGAACTAATTACAGAATTTGTTAAATCAAACTTCGCACTACACCTCTACTGTTCACTGAACGTGTTCACTAAGTTTGAAAAGAATGCAGTAGTTTTCAAGTTATAGGTCGCACAAAAATGTCCTTGGAAGGATGGACGGACGGACGGACGGAATTCCTTGATACCACTATATATTACCGCCCTTTTAGGTTGGGGTACACAAATCTGGATTGTTACATCATTAATAGGATGGAACGGAAATACGCGTCATGATACTCTCATACTCTTACAATCCTTTTGTAAGATCTAACTTAGTTTTCCAAAATATCATGTTTAATTCATCTCATGTTAATTCCTTGGATAAATTTCCGCCAGTTACAAGGAACTTAATTACATCCAAAATGAATTACAATATTCCTAGTTTATCCATCATTGCTGAAACCAAAAGCACACATATCTTTCCCTTGCCAAATTCAAAACAAGGGGCATATAGGGCATGTATCGCTCACCTGGATATTTACACAATCATGACAAAATATACATTTGCATTGTACATGTACATAATGCTGCAAAGATTTCGTAATTGTGACTCTGTCAGCTTTTAAAAGGGGTGGATGGCAAATCTGACAGCATGAACGTGTAGATTTCTAGATACAAAAGTAGCATAAAGATCTTAACCGTTTTCATGTAATGATCCAGGCAAACAAGTTGTTTAAAGCAAAAGCGCCAAGTTTCCACTTTTTCGACCCGACCCGCCCCTCAGACCCTTGGTTGTGTCAGCCCCACCATTTGTACAATTTGTAATCCTCACCGCCGGAGAAGGCTTCCAACCTAATATGGTTGATTGATATCTATCTCTTAGTTCCACAGGAGAAGTCGCTTAAAGCAATATAGCCAAATTGCCACTATTTGGCCCCGCCCCTCAGCCCCTTGGGGTGTCAGCCCCAATATTTGAACAATTTTGAGTCCCCACCACCTAGGCATGCTTCCAGTCCAAAAAGTGGTTCAGAAGAAGTCGTTTGAATAAAATGTTGACGTACGGACGAGGGACGACTGACAGGGGAGGAACAACGCACGGAGGACGGACAACGGACCGACGACAGACGCCACGGTATGGCGGTACGGACCCGGTGAGCTTATAAATGACATAATTAACTAATTTATCATCTTCACTTGATAACTGTTTGTTGACCTGGGTAGCACTTACAGTTGTCTTCATTTATTTGTTGTGTATTTTTGCGTAACATCAAATCTTAAAGTCTCAATCCGAAATTGTAAGGGATTCCAT